TGTTTGGCAGCACATACTTGTGTGAACAACTGTTCTCTTTGATGAAGATAAACAAAACTTCACACAGGACTCGTCTTACTGATGAGCACCTTCATTCAATCCTGAGGATTTCCTCAGCTCACAGCCTGACCCCAGACATTGATGAACTTGTATCCAAGATGAGACACCAAGTGTCTGGCTCAGACCAGTGAGCATCACAGAGCAGCAAACGGTGCTTTGACGCATTTTCAGTTTTTAATGCAGTTTCATTTTTGCATTTTTTTTCTCTTGCTACTACAGGACATTTGATTTTCCTTTGAAGTAAATTATTTTTGGCTGTTGTTTGCCTGTAGAAAATGTTTCCACTTGAAATTACTCTGGAAAAACTGCAGATAGAGTCATAAGCAATTAATGAAACTGATTTTATTACTTTTATTTTGTTATGTATTATTTAATATCTTTATTTCATTTATTTCATAATTAATGTTGTTTTATAGGCAATACTCTATAGGCCTCGTTAGTTCCAGGTTCAACATGTGCACTAAGGTTCTTTCAATAAGTTTTCAATAAACGTTGAACCCGTATGGCCCTTGACTTGTAGCAATTTTTTTATTTCGGCCCACTGTGTATTTGAGTTTGACACCCCTGTACTAGACAATAAATCACTTCTGATTCTGTCGCCCCCTGTGGACTAAAGTGGTAGTGTTTCTGAACACCAGATTCTCTTTAGAAAACCTCTCATTCTACTGCAGCAGGGTCTGACAGTCTGCCCCTCTTAGTCCTGGTTCTGGTTCTCCCGTGCCTCCCTTCCCTCCAGCGGGTCCAGCAATACGTCCTGGGTCTCCAGCAGCGTGGTGTCGGTGTTGACTCCCAGAGAGGAGAAGCTCTGCTCCTGAAGGAGGAGGAGGCGGAGGAGGAGGAGTGGACCGGTCTCTGCTGGAGGATCTGGGTCTGTCCACGGTGGACCGGTCTCTGCTGGAGTCTGAGCTGAAGGAGGTTCTGGTGAACCTGCATGATGTCATCTGGTTTCACCAGAATCCGACCCGGTGGCTCCGATGACGAGCATTAAGAATAACTCTATAGAAACAGACCATCTTCTCTCTGATGGTCTCTGTACTGATGGAGGTCTGATAGAGGATCAGGACTAAACTGAGGCTGGTTCAGAACCAGATAAAAGTCCCTCACCATCACTTTGCGTTCAGAATAAGAGGGTTTTTACCGGTGAAACTCATCATCCGTCCTCACAGCTCTTGAAGGACGTTAGCGTTGCGATGCCACAGAGTCCCCGTCATCGTCTTCACCTGGTCAGGCCTCTCCTCTGACAGGGGTGTTTGTGGAAGCAGGACAGCTGGCTGAAGTGTCTGTCGCAGTTGGAGCACCAGTACGGCCTCTCGCCGGTGTGCGTCCGCAGGTGCACCGTCAGGTTGCCCTTCTCCACGAAGCCGCGGCCGCAGTACACGCAGGTGAACGGCTTCTCGCCCGTGTGGCTGCGGACGTGCCGCACCAGCGTCGCCCTCCTGCCGAAGCTCTTTCCGCAGACGGTGCACCCGTACGGCCGCTCGCCCGAGTGGATCCTCATGTGCGTCCTCAGGTTCCCCCGCAGGGTGAAGCTCTGACCGCAGACGCTGCAGCGGAACGACGACTCCTTGTGAACTCTGAGGTGAAGCTTCAGGTTCTCCGTTTGCTCCAGACGTTTCCCGCACAGGCTGCAGTCTCTCAAATGTGCCGATGCGTGTTTGAGTAGAAAATTAATCCTCTGAAAGGACTCGCCACAAACTTTACAGCTGAACATCGGTGGAGGCTGATGGTCTTGCGACAGATCAGTCCTGCTCTGAGATGAACTTTGTCCTTCTTCTTCCATCTCCTCTGGTTTCCAAAGGCCTGCGGTCTCTCTCCAGTAGTCTCCACTGTCTTCGGTCTCAGAGGACTCGGCGAGGAGGCGGCCATTGCTCGCTGCTTCCGAACCCCCAGCTGGATCAAAGTCCCCGTTTGGTTCTGAAACTGCACATTCCTCGCTGCCAACTTCTGTTTTAATCTGAGCAGGCGAGGCGCCCATGTTAGTCTGGTCCAGCTGGACACTCAGGATCCGATCATCAGGTTTTATCCAGGAGGAAGTCCGCAGACGGTCTGACGGGAGGCAGAAGACAAAAACAAGAGTTTTTATGAATAAATAAAACTGTGTGCACGTTTCAAATCATCCAGCAACGGATGAGAATAAATCCAGAACTAACTCCGAGGTGTCTGCAGGTTTAATCAGACCTTTTTAAACACTAACATTTTAGATCCATTTGGTGTAAAATCCTGCAGTTGTTGTTAATTTGGCTCCGTCTATTTCTTGAGTCCGAGCATATAGTTATTTCAGTAAAACTCTACCAGAGAGCACCGACAAGTTTATTACCTTTAAAATGTCTAAAATGTATTTAAAATGTCACATTTTGGCCAATGAAGCCCTCCCAAATAACGATATCAGTATCGGCATAATACATATATATATATATACATATACATATACATACATATACATATATATATATATATATATATATATATACACATACATATATATATACATATACATATACGTATGTATATGTATATATATGTATATATATGTATACATATATATACATATATATACATATATATCTATATACATATATCTATTAATGTAAAACAGCATTAAAGCATTAAACATGTTAATGTCCAGAAGGAACCGACCTGCCGTCTGGTTCCGCTCGCCCTCCTCGGACCTCAGGCGGTCCAGCTGTCGCCGCTGGCGGTCTATCTGCTCCCGGTAACGGGCCACAGTCTTCCCCAGCTCCCCCAGGATTTCGTCCACCGCCGCCGCCAGCCGCTCGTTAACGAACAGTCTCAGGGTCTCCATGTCTGGCGGCGGGCTGCTCTCACGGTCCACACCCACGAAACCCTCCACGACTCCGGGAGGGAACGGAGAGGAAGGCGAGGGGAACGCCTGTCGGTGGGCGGACATGTTGGTTTTCACTCTCCCTGATTAAAATGAAGCGTTTTATCCTCAAAAAACTCAAAACACTTCCGGGTATTGTGGTTGAAGATGAAGAACGCTGATAGATAAACGTCGTAACGGTTAAAACACCGAAACAAAACCGATAAAATGCCCCTCAGCTGGTTTGTTTCTGTCTAACACTGACCGACTGCGTCAGAAAAGTAAACAATTTGGCTGAGTTCCGGCAGACATTGATGTCGTAAAGAAACAATGTCTGGTCATCAATGGTTCCGGGAGGACAAAAGTTTCCTATTTTATATTTTAGAAAGTGACAAGAGGTGAGAGAAATATTCATATTTTACCCACTGTAAAAACAAAAATGATGGAATGAAATACAATTATGTAGAATTCTGTAGATTATAAGGTCCTATAAAAATGTAACTTAAAGAGACAAACCAACCAGAAAGAGACTCAAAATTACCACAAAATAAAAATAAAAACAACTACAAAGAGAAACAGAACAAGTACAAAGAGAAAGAGAACAAGTACAAAGAGACACAAAACAACTACAAAGAGACACAAAAGAAGTACAAAGAGAAACAGAACAACTACAAAGAGACACAAAACAACTACAAAGAGACACAAAAGAAGTACAAAGAGAAACAGAACAACTACAAAGAGACACAAAACAACTACAAAGAGA